TCCGTCGCCAGACGCCTCTGCTTCGCTTTCCTTCACCTTGGACTCTGGCGCTTCTCGGTGTTTCTTCCGCGACTCCACCACCCTGACGCCGCTTCCTGTTCCAGCTGCCGTTTCTCTTGCTGACCCCTCCGGCGGTCCGGTAGTCGCCCGCAGTTCCACCACCCTTCCTTGTCCGGCGGTTCCTTCGGGCACTCTCACAGGTGTGCATATCCCCTCGTTCTCCAGGAACCTAGTTGGTGTCGGCTGCCTCCAGGACCTTGGCGTCACCACTACGTTCCCTGGTCACGAGCGGTATGCTGTCTGTACCGAGACCGCCACTGGTGCCCCCCTGTCCACGTTCCCCTGGGACCCGATGTCCGGCCTGTTCACTCTGGACACCGTGACCCCCCCGGCTGGAGCGCTCACCCAGGTTGCTGCTGCCTGCTCCTGTCGGTCCCTCACTCACCCGACCCTCCTTTGGCACCACCGCCTAGGTCACCCTGCACTCCCGCGTCTGCGTCACATGTCCCAGCACGGTCTTGTCCTTGGTCTCCCAGGTTCCCTCCCCGCGTTTCCCTCCTCCCCAGCCCCACCTTGCACGCCTTGTGTCGAGGGTCGGCTTCGCCGTGCCCCTCACTCCTCCTCGTTTCCCCCTACCGCCGCGCCGCTGCAGACCCTGCACCTGGACGTCTGGGGCCCCGCCCCCGTCCCTGGGCCGCGTCGAGAGCGCTACTTCCTTGTGCTTGTCGACGACTTCACTCGTTACACCACAGTCTTTCCCCTGGAGCGCAAGGCCGACGTGCATGACGCTCTCATCCCCTGGCTTGTCTCTGCGCGTGTCCACCGCGGTCTCCCTGTCTTGCGTCTTCACTCAGACCGTGGTGGCGAGTTTGCCTCAGGTGTCCTTGGTCGCTTTTGTCGTGCGGAGGGCATCACCCAGACGTTCACCCTACCGGACTCCCCACAGCAGAATGGGGTCGCTGAGCAACGCATCGGTTTGGTCATGGAGATGGCTCGCACCTCCATGATCCATGCCGGTGCACCCCATTTTCTGTGGCCGTTTGCTGTGCGCTACGCTTCTCACCAGCTTAACTTGTGGCCGCACCCTCAGCAGCCGCAGGTTTCGCCGACCCGTCTTTGGGCTGGGTCTCCTGGTGACGCGTCTGCGTTCCACGTCTGGGGCTGCCTTGCTCACGTCCGTGCCTCCGGCATGGACAAGCTCACTGCCCGCACCCTTCCCTGCGTCTTCCTCGGTTTTCCCCTTGACGCGTCCGACTGGCACTTTTACCACCCGCCGTCTCACCGCTTCTTTCACTCTCGTGACGTCACCTTTGACGAGTCCGTCTCCTACTACCGTCGCTTCCCCCACCGTGGTCCCCCGGTTACCCCCCCCCTGTTCCTGGTCACTCCTTCCCCGGTCGTCCCTGCCCCTCCTCCTCCTCCTCCCCGTCCCGCCCCCTCTGGTGTGTCCCACGTCACCCCCCTTCCGTCGGTGGACCCGGTTGAGGAGTCTTCTGACTCTGGTGGCCCTCCTGTTCAGTTCTCGCCGGCCGCCCCTCCCCTGGCGTCCCCTCCCCAGTCCCCCCCTCCACCGCCTCTGCCGCCGCTGCAGCCGTCGTTGTCGCTGCCGCCGCCGCCGCCGCCGTCGCAGCACCCGTTCGCTGACTCTGGGGGTGCTCGTTCCGGTAGCCCTGGGGGTGGTCCCTCTGGGGGTGCTGGTGTGGAGAGTGCCGGTGGTAGCCAAGGAGCAGCTTGCTGTACAGGTGTCGCCGTTGTGCCGCCGCAGCAGCAGTCCCCGCCGGTGTCAGCCCTTCGCCTGCTCGGCCTTCCGTCCCCCGACCCTGCGTCGGTTCCTCCCCGGCCGTCTCCTCCTCTTCCTGTCTACGGCCCTGTCTTCCCTCCGCCGGACTCGTCCCCGGCCCGTCTCCCCCCTCGTTCCCCTCCTGTGTCCCCTCCTTTGTCTCCTGACCCGACTCCTCCGTCGCACGTCTGGTCTTACCGTCCCTCCCGTGCTCGTCCTGCCTCGCCTGTCTTGCGCTCCCACCCTATGTTGCTTCGTTCCCACGCGTCTTGTCCTCCCCTTCTGCCGTCGCCTCCTCCGTCCTCCCTTGTTGTTGCACCCCCCCCCGCTGTCTGACTACCTTCGTGCCGCTCGTCCCCTTGTTCCTCGGGTCCTTGCCTCTCTCGTTACCGACCCGTCTGTTCCGGCCTCGTGCCTTGACGCTCTTGTCGCTGCTGTCGCTGACTTCGCCTCTACCCGCCGCCTTGACTACGCCTCCGCTCTGGTCTCTGACCCTGCCTGTCCTCCGTCTGTCGGGGGTGCTCCTGCCCTTGGCAGTGACGTCCTGGAGGACCGCCAGTTCGAGCTTGCTTTCCTGTCCGAGGCTGCTCCTCATCTCTGTTCCATGCTGCTAGTCCCTGAGGGTGACCCAGACGCTTTCGACATCCCGACCCCTCGCACTTACGCTGAGGCGACTTCGGGACCCTGGGCCTCGTAGTGGATAGCTGCCATGGAGCAGGAGATGGCATCTTGGAGATCCACCGGCACCTTCGTCGACGCAGTTCCCCCACCTGGGGTGAACGTAGTCGATGGCCGCTGGCTCTTCAAGGTGAAGCGCCCTCCAGGAGAGCCGCCTGTCTTCAAGGCGCGCTATGTGGCAAGAGGCTTCAGTCAGCGTGAGGGGGTGGACTTCTTCCAGACCTTCGCTCCGACCCCGAAGATGACTACTCTTCGGGTTCTGTTACACCTAGCTGTTCAGCGTGACTACGAGCTCCACTCCCTCGACTTCTCCACTGCCTTCTTTCAGGGCAGCCTACACGAGCAGGTCTACTTGCGTCGTCCTCAGGGCTTTACTGGCACCTTCCCTCCTGGGACCCAGTGGCTCCTGCGGCGCCCCGTCTACGGCCTGCGCCAGGCTCCCCGTGAGTGGCACGACACTCTCCGTGCTACGCTTGCTGACCTGCAGTTCTTTCCGTCTTCCGCAGACCCTTCACTCTTCGTTCGTGCTGGCCAGACTCCGTTCTACATCCTTGTTTACGTCGACGACCTGGTCTTTGCCACAGCAGACAGGGACGCACTGGCCTCCGTGAAGGCAGAGCTGCTGAAGAGACACACGTGCACTGACCTTGGAGAACTGCGCCGTTACCTTGGCTTGCAGATCTCCAGAGACAGAGCTGCGCGCACCATCACCCTGACTCAGTCACACTTGGTGCGCCAGGTCCTTCAGAGGTTCAGCCTTCAGTTCTCCTCTGCACAGCCCACCCCTCTGCCTGTAGACCACAGACTCTCCGCTCCAGTCTCTGAGGAGTTGGTAGAGCCCAGCGGCCCCTACGCAGAGCTGGTGGGTTGCCTCATGTACCTGATGACTTGCACTCGCCCAGATCTCGCATACCCTCTCAGCATCCTGGCTCGCTTTGTGGCCACAGGCAGACACCGACCGCAGCACTGGTCTGCCGCTAAGAGGGTTTTGCGTTATCTTGCTAGTATATCGGGCATGGGGTTAGTGCTAGGAGGACGCAGGCCAGTGGTCCTTACTGGACACACAGACGCTTCGTGGGCAGACGACGCCGAGACACTCAGGTCTACCCAGGGCTACTGCTTCAGCCTTGGCTCAGGTGCCGTCTCGTGGAGAGCTACCCGCTCCTCGTCTGTTGCCCAGTCCAGCTGTGAGGCTGAGATCTACGCTGGTGCCATGGCGGCACAGGAGCTCCGCTGGCTGACCTTCTTGCTCACTGACTTAGGTGAGCGGCCTAGCTCTGCCCCGGTCCTGTTCGCTGACAACAGGGCCATGATCCTCCTGTGTCAGGAGCCTCGACTCGAGGGCAGAGCAAAGCACATTCAGCTGCGGTACTTCCTCCTGCGTGAGCTACAGCAGCGACGTCAGGCTCGCGTAGTACACTTGGCCTCAGGTGCCAACACGGCTGATATCTTTACGAAGGCGCTTGCGCCTAAAGATCATCAGCGGCACTGTGTACAGCTTGGTCTAGTTCCTGTAGCCTCTCACTTGCTAGGACCTTGACTTTGTACTGTCCTTTATACGTATACTCAGACTGGACTTGTGTCCTCTCCCAGTGGCTGGACTTGTAGTGCCGCCCTGCTCTTGTTCTTGCCTTGTCTGTACTCCTTCTGACTGGTCTCTCAGACCCTTGTCTCAGAGGTTGGACTAGTAGTGCCGCCCTGAGCTGCTTGTTTAGGACATTCCCCTATGCAGTCTAGGGGGTGTGGCAAACATGTGTATTTGTCATGTTTGTATAGACTGTATAGGGTCGCCTCTTAGAGGGTACAACACTTAGGTATATCTGTGTGTACTCTCACTCTATCATTATTCACTTCTCTAATTCTGATATGGGTGAACGGGAGAGTGGGAGAGTGAGAGAGGGTGGGAGAGTGGGAGAGTGGGAGAGCGGGTGATAGGGAGAGCGGGAGAGCGGGTGAAGGGGTGAGCGGGAGAGCGGGTGAGTGGGAGAGCGGGAGAGCGGGAGAGCAGAGCGGGAGAGCGAGAGAGCGGGCGAGCGCGTGAATGGGTGAGCGGGTGAAGGAGTTTGCGGGTCAGCGGGAGAGCGGGACAGCGGAAGAGCGGGACAGCGGGAGAGCGGGAGTGCAGGTCTGCGGGTGTACGGGTCTGCACAAGGGATGGATCACTGCTTCCACACATGGTTCTGATGGGTTTAGCAGGGTACACAAGGGATGGACATGGTTGTGCGGCCCTCTTGCTTCTTGTAGCAGAACCATCTGCATGGGCATTGATGGCTCTGAAATGTGCAATGTGCATTGCTTGGACCAGGATGTGTAGCGTAGGTTGGTGTAGGGAGGTTCATACTTTGAGGCTTATTGTGCACAATTGTGTGGGTGCTATTTTGGTAAATTAATTCGATTTTCTCAGTTTCTTTTAGCCAAGTGTTTCCATGCTAAACGTAAACTCGTTCAGAGTTTCGCTATGAGGGTGCTTGTTGCTATCGGCGAATTTGAGGGTGGGGGTACACAATCAGGGAGGGTTTGAATCAGGGTTTTTTTTTACCGTACCTCTCACCGCTCTCTTTCTCGCCCAGCTCCTCCTGCACCTTCAACCCTCCCTTCCCTGACAGCATATGGCTGCCGTTCGCGAAATGGCCTGCTTGCGGTGACGCGAAAAGGAGGTCTTAGACTTAGGCTTTATTATTTCAGCCGCAGTGACAGCCAAGGGGGGAGTGGCTGTTTCGATAGATTGAGTCTGAAGTCGCATTGCCGTGGCTGTTGCCCATGGACGAAGCGACTCTGGATGATTTGATCGCGCGGCTGCTGGACGTGCGGAATGGACGACCAGGGAAGCTCGTGCAACTGACGGAAGCAGAGATTCGCAATCTCTGCACCACCGCGAGAGACGTCTTTCTGCAGCAGCCTAACCTCCTGGAGCTAGAAGCCCCCATCAAAATATGCGGTAGATTCCCACCCTTTCGCTCTTCCTTGCCCACAATGCTGCTTCGTCTTGCGCGCCTAGGACGTTAGTGCTATGGAAAGGGTAACCCTTTATTCGAGTTTTCTTTCGTATGCATTCTGGGCAGTCTTCCTACGGGTCTGTCGTGTTTAAATCCCAAAGTAGACCTGTGTTTGCGCTTCGGGTAGGATTCCTCTCAGTTTCCTGGTCGCCTCTCCTCCGTTGCCCTTCCTCAGGCGACATTCACGGCCAGTACTCGGACCTCCTTCGCCTCTTTGAGTACGGCGGTTTCCCCCCCGAAGCCAACTACTTGTTCCTAGGAGACTACGTGGATCGAGGCAAGCAGAGCCTGGAGACGATCTGCCTGCTGTTGGCGTACAAGATCAAGTACCCGGAGAACTTCTTTCTGCTGCGAGGCAACCATGAATGCGCCTCCATTAACCGCATCTACGGCTTCTACGATGAGTGCAAGCGCAGGTATTTCATTGTGGAGGCTTGGGTTGCATTCCCCGGCCATGGCGCTCAGTCCAATCCAGCTACTGCGTGCAATTGGGAGTTGTAACCTTTTCCCCTCTCACCCTTTTCCCATGTGCTGATTTAGTTCTGTAGTGTTCGTTGCTCGGTTTGCTGCTTCTAGGTACAACATTCGGCTATGGAAGACCTTCACCGAGTGCTTCAACTGCCTGCCAGTCGCTGCGTTGATAGACGAGAAGATTCTCTGCATGCACGGCGGCCTCTCGCCCGACCTGCGGTCGCTGGACCAGATCAAGAAGATCGGCCGCCCCACTGATGTCCCCGACGCCGGTCTGCTGTGCGACCTGCTCTGGGCTGACCCTGACAAGGACATCCAGGGGTGGGGGGACAACGACCGGGGCGTGTCGTACACGTTTGGCGCGGATGCCGTCACTGACTTCCTTGACCAGCACGACCTGGACCTCGTGTGCCGCGCGCATCAGGTACACCTCTCCCGCTTGGCTCTCTGTGCATCTCATTGGTTCTCCCTGTTCCTCGACTCCGTTCCGGTCCTATGCTCTTGTGCGTGCGTCCCCATTGCTTGTTGACATGGCTGAAACTGCCATCTCTCCCACCTTTTCTGCGTGTGTATTGCTGAGTGCACTCTCTCCTTCTAATTCCGTTTTTGGTGCTACGTTCTCAGTGCGTGGTTACATCGTTGAGAGTATGCACCTGATCGGTGTAATTCCTCCCATGTATAATTCCATGCCACTTGTGCGGCAGGTGGTGGAAGACGGCTACGAGTTCTTTGCCAAGCGCCAGCTCGTCACGGTGTTCTCCGCGCCCAACTACTGTGGGGAGTTTGACAATGCGGGCGCCATGATGAGCGTGGACGAGAGCCTCATGTGCTCCTTCCAGATCCTTAAACCAGCTGAGAAGAAGCCCAAGTTCGGCTATGGGGCAGCAGGAGGGGCACGTGGAGCAGGCCAACCACGTGGTGGACGGGTAAGGGGTTCTTGATGGTGCCATGTGTGTTGGCTCGTCTCCCTGAACAAGCGCTCGTTCCTTCTGGCAGAGCTGATATGTTGTTGTGTTGTGTCCGCCTTTGATGCTCATATTCTTCCCCACCCTTTCCCCCATCCCTTTCTCTATTTTCCTTTCCCATTTTCGGCTGACTGATGTGCTCAGAGATGATTCAGGCCATCAGCTCCTGTGATCAAAATTCACACTAATTGGCCTAATTTTTGGGTGGTCGAGACCTGGGCCAGGCATACATTGCGATGCGAACTGATTGGGTGCATGAGTTCCAAGTGGCAGAGGCGATGCCGGGTGCTTCTGGTAGCACCTTCACATGATTGTGATTCCCTATTTCCTTGTGGAGGGTGAAGGTGCATGGGCGCACTCATGCAGCACCCTCTTACAATTAGAAATGCCATTGGCATGCAGTTTTTAAATGGTTGCTGATTAATTGGTTCAGCATGACATGTACAGTATTCCGTATTTTGTTCACATGGCCTGGTTCCTGCCCATAATGACATATCCTCCTAGGCATGATGCACAGTCCAGCTTGTTGCAACTTCAAACAACAAAGGCGTAAACGTGCAAAACATAATCAACATACGGTATGCGCGGTACACGCAATAAAAAAATGAGGTTTCCTGTGGCTTCGCTGTGGTATTCTGTGGCAAGCCAATTATTTGTTGTGACGGCATTCGCCAACAGACGAGCAGTCATAGCGTGGGGCAGGGCATCATGAACGCGGGAATCTCTTAGGCGGTTCGGTGTTCCGCCAAGTGACAGGGTGCGACAGTGTCAGTCAAGCTTGTGGATTGGTGGCGAGCTGAGCTGACCAACACAGCAGCCCAGGCGAAGTCGGAGGAAAAGCTTGCGAGCGACACTGGGATGCTCCACGGCAGGCGGTGTGGCGAAAAGCCCTAGGCCATCGTCAGCGGCACGGACCAGCAGGGCATACGTTGGGCAGGCTGGCAAGGAGGTGTCGTCTCGATTGGGGGGGGCTCGTTCCCCGTTTGGCCCAACCAAGAGGGCCTTCAGTGGCGGAGAGGAACCCGCGCATTTCCCCCCATCCGCAAACATGCCTGACCGCTGCTGTACTGTACTGTACCACCATGCTCCTTGGCACCCTCCCCAGCCCGCTCTCGCCTCTGCTCGCCCATTCCTCTCTGTTTCTGCGGCATTCCTCTGCGCAGTGCCTATGCCCAGTCGATGCGCTCGTGGCTGTGTGCTTCTTCGTTGGTCCGCCCCCCAGAAAGCCAGCATTCCCTGCGACCAACATCATGCACCCAAAGCAACCACCCATGATTAGCATAGCTTGCTCTCGAACCCACAGACGCCGTCCTCCAAACCAAGTTGCTGACCATGCCTGCGTTACTAAGCTGCTGGTGATGGACTGGGCTTTTCGCGTGCCTGCCTGCAACTGTTAACGCTGTCCTCTAGGAATACTCTGCGTTGAACGACGCCGTTGAGTAAAGGAAGGCCAGCACTTTTCATGGAGCCATGGTAGCAATCGACACGACTCGTGTCGACATTGCCCGTGAGACCTCGACGCGTCGGCCATGTGGTGTGCACCCGGCCTCTGCTCTCCATGCGGCCTGCACTAGGGATCATCCCGCCCACGCCATTGCCATCACTCCTGCATGATCCCCATAGTCCCACTCTGTTGGCTGGCCCGCTCTAGAAAGACTCTCGCTGGTTCACGTCGCCTTTCCCATGCATTTGGGCTGCCGCGAACTGTCGTTCAGTCATCACACTATGACGAGATCACCCTCCGTAGGATGCGATCGCCCTGCGAATTGCACTTTCCATGATCTCGCCGGTAGACAGGAACCTAGTCTAAATTGCGTTTAGGGTGATCTCTCTTACCCATACTCTAGCACTAGCTGCACAAGCTCGTAGATCGTAGCTCCTAGCTTGTGGCCTGGTGACACCCAGGACGCACCAGTTTCCGCAAGAGGTCCGTCCACTGGTTCTCTGCATTCGCCCGGCGGAATTTACCCTGCCTGCCGCTCCGGCTGTTGCTGCCTCCTCTCCGCCATCTCCTCCTGCTACGTCCGAAGTGACTTCTGAGTCGGCTCTACTCGAGAGGGAGCCGTCCGGCCGCCATGCCGCTCACGCGTCGACACGTGGCGGCGGAGGAGAGCTTGGCATCGCCGAGCGTTCTCCGCGCAGCCAGCGGCGATGACCCGCGGGGGATGCTGGAGGGTGTGTCCATGGCGTGCCTCGTCGGCCTCGTCAAGCAACTCGCGCTCCTCTCCGAGTACAGCCTCCCCCGCTTCCCCCTCCCCCTTCAACACCTCATATCAACCTACCACCGACCTACTACACTCTTCCCTGCTTGGTCTCGCACTCCTTCTCTCCCACCCCCCCCTCCCCCCACCCCCACCCCCCTCTCTCCTCCTCCCCTTCCTCCTCTCCCCCCCCACCAACTCCCACCCCTCCTTCTCGTTCTTCTCGTTCCCGTGACTCAATCAAGTTGCTATATCCACTCTCGCGATCCCGTCTCTACCACTCTCCCCCCCGCACCATGCAGCCATGCGTCTCGTGTGTTCGAGGGTCTGGCTGCGGACCTAGCGGAGGTGGCGGCGCGGCGGGAGCAGGTGGCGGCTCGCGCGCGGGGAATAGAGGCGGTGGTGGGGCGGATAGAGGAGCGCATTCTCAAGGACAGCCACCCGCTCGCGCTCGCGTACACGCCAGGTAAACGTCGCAGCAGGAGAAGTAGCGACTTTGAGGAGAGTAACAATCGGCCAAAGCACAAAAAGAGAGGGGGTTCGCCTGCTGGACATGCCCAATCGATCGAGCAGATCGATCAAAGCCAGACCACCTTGCCTCTGTGAGTTGTGGTTACTCGTTTTTCGAGTGCCACCACACCATTGTCTTGCCCTGGTTTGATCTCCCACTCTCGCTCACTCGCCCACCCATGTTCATCCTACCTTAACCCCTCCTGCCGCTGCGCGCATGTCCCCCCTCCTCCTGCTCGCGCGCTCCAGGCGTCCGCTGGCGCGCGCACGTGCCGGCGGCGCAGCGCGTGCTGCTGTCCGCCGACCGCCCGCTGGTCATCGTCGCCGCGTACCAGCACGCGGCGCCCGCGCCCCCGCTGCACCGCCTGCACAGGTACGACGGGCCTGGGCGACAGGCGTGCGCGGGATCACGTCAGAGACCTTGTTAGGTGCGCGTCAGAGCCCTTGTGGATGAGGGGGTTGCCAGGAGCCCGTGAGTGGCGCGTGCGGTATCGTAGTGTCTCAGATCCGTTCCGCCGGATACCCGATGCTCCTGCCCGCCGCCCAGGCTCTCCCCCTCACCGCACACCCCTTTCATGGCTTGAAAAGTGCCCCATGTGCCTCTGAACTCCAGGCTCGTTCGCTCCCCATATCTCTCCCCTTTTTTGCCCTCGTCGCCCCCCCCCCCCCCCCCCCCCCCGCAGGCTGTTGCCCTCACCCGCGGGTGCTCTGGCGGAAGGCGAAGATGGTGCCTGTAGGGGCAGGGACGTGCGGGAAGTGGGGGGTGAGGGGGTTGCGCGCGATGACGCGGAGAGGGGGGAGAGGAGCGACGGAGCTGGCGGAACGGAAGGCGGAGACTCTGGAGCTGCGCGGGCGGCGGAAGTTCTGCTGCAGCGCGTATGCGCGGATGGCGAAAATGGGGAGGGGGACCGCGGAGAAGCACTGGGAGACGGCGGATGGGGGAAGGAGTGGCACGAGGATGCATGGCAGGGGTGTGCGCTGAGGTACTCGGATGCGACAGCGGCGTCAGGGCCGTGGAGGCGAGACGGAGAGAGCAATCTCATGGACGAGCAAGTGCAGGCGGAATGGCACGCGCAGGTGGGCGCTCCATGCTGCTCCCCCCTTCCCCCCCTGCTCCCTCCCTCCCTCCCTCCCTCCCTCCCTCCCTGTCTCCTTCCCCCGCTCTGTCTCTTACAGACGGTTTTCTCTGGCATGGCGTGTTCGCATCATATCTATGCCCTTGTTAAATGCAGTCTTCGCCCCTCTTACCGCTTTGGCCTCACACCATCCCCAACTACTCTCACTCCTTGCGCTACCAGGGGCACCAGTCCCCCCCGGACGCCTCGTCGTGGATGACCGCGCGCCTGCTGCGCGCCTCACTTCTTGCGCCATCTGGGGAGAGTAGGGCGGAGGGAGTAGGGCGCGAGGGGTGGAGTGATAGTGGTGTGGAAGACGATTTGCGGCAGGGGGACGTGGGAGCGGGAAGGGAGGGGGAGACGCTTGGGGCTAGCACGTCCGAAGCACAGGCAGGGGAGACTGGCGAGTATGACGAGTCGGGCAGATGGAGCGAAGGAGCAGGGAGAGAGGGGTTGGGGCGTACTTATGACTCGGATCACTGGGCCGAGGAGGAAGGACACAGCGAGGAAGGAGTCACGGGTGGGGGGCGTGAGAGTGAAGTGAGGGAGGAAGAGGGGGAATCAGGGAACAGAGGGAGAGGAGAGGAGGGAAGGGGGGGTGTAGGGGCAGCGATGGCGTGGTTGGACGTGGGGGACGGGGTGGAGTTCGACGTGATGCAGTACGTGCGAGTGCTGGAGGAGGAAGGCGCGGACGACGACGCAGAGGCGCAGCTGGGAGACGCGCTTGAGGAAGGGAAGGGTTGTGGAGAAGGGGAGGTGGCGGGTACCGGTGGGGAGGAGGTGGAGGAGGTGGAGGAGGTGGAGGAGGTGGAGGAGGAGGACGGAGAGGCGGACGCGGCAGAGGGTGGTGAGAGAGATGAGGCGGGCTTGCTGCTGAATGGGGTTGCTGATGACTGGGGGTCCACCGATGGGAGTGAGGGGTCGGACGAGGAAGAGGAAGAGGAAGAGGAAGAGGAAGAGGAATGGGAAGCGGAAGGGGAAGGGGAAGAGGAAGAGGAAGAGGAAGAGGAAGAGGAAGAGGAAGAGGAAGGAGTTGGAGTGCATGGTGAGGGGGAGGAGGGAGTCCAGGAGGAGTATGGCAGCGATGAGGCCGAGGAGGAGGAGGAGGAGGAGGAGGGGCCCTCAGCTGGGGCTGCTGAGGGAGCGGGGGCAGGGTTACTGGTAGGGGGTGAGAGTGTAGGGCTGGTGACGAGGGGGCTTGGAGCAACGGAGCAGCAGCAGCCGCCCAATGCGAGGGAGTTGAACCTGCCGGACGGGTCTCTGCAGCGTGACCACGTGCAGCAGGCAGAGCCGGAAGAGGCGAAGCAGCAGCAGGAGCAGGAGGAGGGGCGTGGAGAGGACACGGGAGAATCTGCATCTTTGGTATCTGATCGCCCGTCAGCTGCCCTCCACACGCCACACCGCCCATCCACCTCACCCACCTCATCCTCCCCTGTGCTAGCACCAACCGCCACCGCAGCAACAGCAGCATCCCCCTCCACCTCGTCGTCGTCGTCGTCTCTGTCGGGTCGCTCCATGTCGCACTCCGTGTCCAAGTCCCTCAAGGACCTGTCCGTGCTGCAGCAGAAGCTGAGGGCGCAGAGGGGCGACGTGCAGCGCCTGGCAGCGGACAGCATGCAGCTGCAGCAGTGGCTGGGCCTGCAGCCGCACCACGTGCTCACCTCGCCCTCCGCCTCTCCAGCCACCTCTGCTGCTGCGGCTGCGTCAGCGGCGTCTGGTTCTGCTGCATCCGCTGCTTCGTCGTCACCTTCCAGCAGGCTCCAGCAGTCCAAGCAGCAGGCGTCCAGAGCTGGCGAGAGCGCTAGCACCAGCGCGCACGCCAGCTCCAGCAGCACCAGCGGCAGCAGCAGTGTAGGTGGTGGTGGTGATGGCCGCGCTAGCAGTGCCATCAGTGGTGGGTCGACCGCTGCCAGTGGCTATGGGGCGGGCAGCAGCATGGTGAGCAGCAGCAGCTTCACGAGCAGGCCGCGCCGATTCAGCTTGGGTTCAGGAGGAATGGGGGCAGGGGGAGGGGCGGCAGGGGCGGCCTCTGCAGCAGCGTTGGCAGCAGCTGTGGCGGCTGCAGGGGGGAACCCAGTGGGAGGGGAGAGGGACGTGGCTGCGCCCCGCAGTGTGGCTAGTGCTGCGAATGATGAGCCCTTGGCGCCAGCTTCAGCCACCACTGCTGATGCTGCTCCTGCCAGTGGTTCTTGGGCGGCTGGTGCTGCTTTGCCACACTCAGTGAAGGGCGATGGTGCGAGAGAGGAACGGTCGCATGGGGAGGGCAATGGGGAGGGTGGCTTGTCAGGGAAGCATAGGGAGGAAGCATGGCTGAGGCAGGAGGGAGTTGGGCCAGTGCTGCAGCAGCAGCAAGGGGAGGATGGGGAGCAGCAGCAGCAGCAGCAGCAGTGGCAGCAGCAGCAGCAGCAGCAGCAGCAGCAGCAGCAGCAGCAGCAGCAGCAGCAGCAGGGGAGTGAGATAGAAAAGCATGGTGGGCGGCGAGGAGGGGATGAGGTGCTTCGGCGGAGTGCGTCCCTGCCTGCTGTTTTCCAAGAGCCAGACAGGGCTGACCACACACGAGCACAGGACAACGGCGAGGGCGAGGGCGAGGGTAAGGGCGGGAATAGCGCCATGCAGGGGAGTCAGGAGCACAAGCCTTCCCCCTCTCGCCCTCTCCCCCATGCTCACTCCTTCGCTGCTGTCTCCTTTGCCTCCCCTCACCTGCCCCACCGAGTCACTCCCACGCCTTCCTCTCAACAGCCCTCCAGCGTTGCACCTGCGAGTGGGGATGGGCCCGGTGCTGTCAGTGCAGATGAACCTGCCGCTGCTGCTGCCGCCGCTGCTGCTGCTGCTGCTCGCTCCTGTCGTGCTGGTTCTGGGAACAGGGATGAGCTGCCTGTTTACTCCCCTGCCCTGGGATCCCCACCTCCCTATACGTCCCCACCAGTGGGTCTTCATAGCCCTGCTCCCCTCATCGTCCCTTCCCCATCCTTCTCCTCCACCTCGCCCTCCGTCTCTGCCCCATCCTCCTCCTCATCTGCCTCGGGGCCCTGCTCTGTCTCCGCTGCCTGCTCCCACTCATCTGCTTCCCCATCTGCCTCTGCCTCTGCTGCCTCTGCCTCTGCTGCCTCTTCACACTCCTCCCCATCTACTTCCTCCTCCTCCACCGCCCACTCCTCCCCCTCTCCTTCCACCACCTCACCTCCTACATCTCGCCTCTCTGCATCTGTTGCATCCTCCACTCGCTCGCCTTCCCCCTCGTCCTCCTCGCCCTCTCCCTCCCCCTCCTGCTCCTCCTCCACCTCTCGCTCTCAAGCCTCCTCCTACACGCCCTCCCACCCCCGCACTCACACTCGCTCACTCGCCTCCGCCTCCTCGCCCTCAATCCTCCCTGCCTTGTCTCTCTCCACTCCGCCCCAAGCCAAGGGCCTCTCCTCTCCCCACCACTCTGCTCCACTCTCGCCGCACACTAGCAGCAGCCACCAGCACGCTGTGCCATGCTCCCCTGATACGAGCAGCACCCACAATCCAAGTTCCGTCTTCTTGCCTGTTGATTCTAACAGTGCAGCTGTTGCTGCCACTGCTGCCACTGCTGCCACTGCCGCCACTGCTGCTACTGCCGCCACTGCTGCTACCGCTGCTACTGCTGCTACTGCTGCTACTGCTGCTTCTGCTTCTTTGGAATGTGGCTCCACGGCAGCTGTAGCCCCTAGCCCCCCTGAGCCCTCCAATTCCACCTCCATCCCTGCCCTTGCAGTCCCAGCTGCTCTCACATCTCCCCCCACCCGCCACCCCATGCCGCTGCTCTCCCCGCCCTTCTCTGCCATCCCAGCTGCTGCTGCTAGCTCCTCAGCAGTGCCTCGCAACTCCACCAGCAGCACTGACAACATGTTGACACGAAGGTCGGGCCCCTCGTCCCTCTCCCCCCTCCCTCGTGTTCACCTTCCCTCCTCCCCGCCACGCAACCCTGCTGGCTCTCCTCCCGCTGCAGCAGCCAGCAGCAGCACCATACCCACGTCTCCCATCACCACTCCCAGCTCGTCTCTCAGAGCCACCTCTCCTCCTGCTTTACCCTCCACTCCTCCCTTAACCCCCGCCCTCCGCTCCCCCCACTCCCTTGCCAAGGCCCGTGCTCATGCCCTAGCCCTCGCCAACTCCCTATCACTAGAACCCCCTGCAGTGCCTGCTTCCAGTGGCGCTGCTGCTGCTGCTGCTGGCCCCAGCAGCAGCAGGCACAGCCACTCCCATGCGCACGCTCACGGCAGCAGCACCAAAGCCCCGCCCACCAGCCCCTCTGAAACCCGCTCGCGCAGCCCTGTCTCCCACCGCCCCTTCCCCCGCCACCGCAAGTCCCCCCCTGCCTCCCCCTGCGCCCTGCGCTCCCCCGCCCACCCCGTTTCCCCCCAGCATGACGTGGGCGGAGGGGGGAGGAAAAGCAGGGCAGGGGGGAAGAAAGGGAGGCTATCGGGGCAGACATCGGGGGAATGGCTGGGGTGGGATGAGAGGGAGGGGGAGGAAGGGGGGAGGGGGAGGGCTTGGATTGATGCTACAGAGATGGCACGGGCGCAGAGCGAGCAGTGGGAGAGAGAGAGGATTAGAGGGGTTGGAGCAGGGGAAGCAGGGAAGAGGAGGGATTCGCGAGTGGGTGTGGGGGCTGGCAAGCGGGTGAGTGGTGCAGGGGAGAGGGAAAGAGAGGGGGATGGTACGGCAGAGGTGCTGCGGCAGCGGCGGAAGCAGCAGCAAGGGGGCGAGGTGGAGGTGGTGGTGGTAGGGAAAGAGTACATGGATGGCACTCGAGGTGGTAGACAGCACATGGGAAAGAGGAAAGAAGCAAGGCAGCAGCAGGCGCAGCGGCAGCAGGGTGATGGGCATGAGAACAAGAGAGTGCCTTTAGTTGTAAATGTCAACCCCTCCAGCATGGCTGCTCGTCTTCCCTCCCCATCTTCTCTCTCACTCACGTCACCCAAACCCCATACGCCAGCATCCTCCCACCCCTCCCTTCACCCATACCCCTCCTCACAATCCTTCCCCTCATCGCAATCCCAGTCCCTAGTACCCCCTCGCTCCTTCCCCTCCCCCACATATCAGCCCCCCCTCCGAGACCCCAGTCCCAGCCCTCGCTCGCTGCACCCCCGTACACCCCCCTCCCCGTCCTCCCTCTCTGCGGTCTCCCTCTCCTCCTCCTTCATCCGCCGCCTGCCCAGCCCCAGAGCCCTGCCAGGGGCACCCTCCCTCGCCCCGCCCCTTGTGGCACCCGCTGCTGCTGCTGCTGGAAGTGCGACGCCCACTGCGGCAGCAAGCCTGCTCTCCCCCGCCCTTATCTCTCCCCGTGGCGGCTCCTCCCTGCTTCCCTTACCATCCCCAGGCTTCTCCCACACTCCTCCCGCCTCCCTCAGCCATGCCTCCACCCCTGCACCACCGTCCTCCTCCCACTCCTCTCACTTCTCAGTCAACCAGGCCGGGCCCTTCCCTTCCACCGGGAATGGGCCTGACACAGTCACACCGGCTGCAACAGTGCCAGGGAGTGCAAGAAGCGGGGTCAGCTCGGCAGGTGCATCTGGTGCAGGTGGCAAGTGGGCAGGCAGTGCGGGCAGCTATCGCAGCAGCGACAGGCACACCCCAGGGAGTGCGCAGTCACATGCGGCAGGGACGAGGAACGGCGTGGGTAGTGCTAGCGGTGGCAGGGTTGCTGGCAGCGGCAGCAGTGTCAGCCAGAGTAAACTATCAGTGCATGTGGATGGGGGGACTGTGCCTGTGCAACCGCCTTCGAGCCCACTCTCCCAAATCAAGGCTGCTGCCAGGAGTCTCTCCCCTCTTCGATTGGTGGTAAGCTTCTCTTTTCTCCCACTGTGTCCCACCAGCCTTTATGTGTGCCTTGTCCTTGATTCTCAACTGTTAGTACTAGTTTCACTTATCACCTGCTAACACGGGGTCACCCCCTCTGCTCCATGGGTTCTCTGATTGTTGCATTGCAGCATGCAAATGGACGGGCTTCTGACCAGGAAAGGAGGATGCCTATTCGCCTGTTTTCACCGTCTTAGACACGACTTGGTAATATACTGCCAGGCTATGCATGCGTATTTGGAATTTGTAGCGTAGGAAATAGAGCAAACATGGCTGTCTGTCTTTCGTTAGTGAGTGTTTTTGTGGAACCAGGTTTGATTTGGAATTGATAGTAATGGCCCAGGCTAGCCGAATAGTAACGGGTACCAAATGGAGGCTGCTTCACCGAAGAGCAGTGCGTCATCAGGCTTCCTCCGGAATTGCTCGCGACCTTCTTGCTTGTCCAATCGAAGCCCACTGCTATTTTCGGGATCCAGATTCGAATTTCTCTTCGATCATTTGATTTGAACTCTGCATTTCGACGCGTCTCTCGTCTCTCCTGACCTAGCATCCCCGTCGTTGCCTTCCGTTCAAGCCATGGCACCAGTCCTCTCGTTGGAGCTGTCGCAGGGCCATGGCACCGTGCTGCTGGTGGCGGCGGCAACAGTGGTCCTCAACTTTTGGATGAGCGCAGGCGTGATGTCAGCACGCAAGAAGTGAGCATGCGCGAATAAACGGGTGAACTTGTTGATTCATCGACTTCCAGCAGATGCGCTGCAGCGTGCATGCGACGAGTCCTATGCGGAAATAAACGAGATCGTGGTTTCTTGAACGAATCATCACGGCGTTATCTGTGTCATTGGTTGCAGGTACAATGTCCAGTACCCGCTCCTGTACGCATCTGAGTCCCACAAGAACGCCAAGGAGTTTAACTGCGTGCAGGTACGCAAGCCGCAGGCACCTTCGAGATAGCGAATATTGCACGCCCTCAGCCATTTTAAACCGTGTTTCAGAAACGAGTTTTTTTTCAGATTCCTTTAGTTGTTTTAAGTAACCCGTGCTTGTCGTGATGATCTTCCCCGTCTTGAATCGCAGAGGGCCCATCAGAACAGCCTTGAAGTTCTTCCGCTCTTCCTTGTGTTTCTCCTCACCAGCGGCGTTCCGGTAAGCTCTCCTCCCCCGCCTTCTTGGAGTTGTCCCGCTCCCCTCACATGCTGACTGTGTTTCCGCCCTCTCCCGTTTCACATCGGCGTCCTCTCACGAACTGCTTTGCCTCTTTCGATGGGTCCTGTTCCGTGCACCCGTTGCAGTACCCCTGGACGTCCACTGTTCTTGGGGTCATCTTCCTGCTCGGTCGCATTGGCTACTTCCTTGGTTACTCCACTGGCAGGCCCGAGGCTCGCTACAATGGCGGGTAAGCTCTCTCTTTCTCTCTCTCTCTCTCTCTCTCTCTCTCTCTCTCTCTCTCTCTCTCTCTCTCTCTCTCTCTCTCCCTCTCTCTCTCTCTTCCTCTCCCTCCCTCTCTCTCCATCTGCGTCCTGCCTTCTCTACCATGCTTTTTCTTTCTCTCCTTTCCCCCCTCTCGTTCACTCCTCTCCCCCCTCCCTATCATGCTCCCTTTCACCGTCCCTGTCATCCTAGCTTCCCACGCTCTCCCTCTTAGTTGCATTTGATAGGAACCCTGATGATCCGTTAACTCCTGCACGACGGAACTTCTTGTTTTAGCTGTCTATGTGATGTGCCTGTTCAACCCTGTATACTCTTGCAGGTTCTGGATGATTGGATTCCTTGGCCTTGTAGTTACGACCATCGTGGTTGCCCTTCGAGCCCTTGGTCTCATCCAAGGATGAGTGGCGCAGGTTGCACTTATAAAATATTGATCTTTTTTTCTTACGAGAAATATGCGTATAAAATTACCTTAAAGATATGTGTTTTTTCGTGTGGAATTGTAATCTCTGTCCAGCTCGCAGCACATTTGTCTCCGTTGATAATGAATCTCCCACAATACGGGTGGGAATCCAACAGGTCGCATGGCAGCCCATTAGCCAACCCGGTACGGACACCAAGATAATAGACGCATCCCCCAGAATCTGTGAGCCAATTAGAGCGAATGGCGAGCGAGGCCCTGTCAAAGCATCGAATCGCGATTGCGTGGCGACGATCAGCTGCCATTCCTTCGCACCAGGCCCAATTTTTCAAGGAAAATTATCCGGAATTTGTTTTTCCAGAGTCCCCTAGGGCCCAATCCTCCGGGGCCCAACCCGAACCCCTTACCCCCCTCTCCCCCACATCAACACCACACCACACCCCCCTCTTCCCCTTGCACTGACACCTCAAACGGGATGAGCTGCCCCCCTCTTCCCCTTGTGCTGTCATCTCCCCTTCCCTCACTTGTTGCTACCACTCCAGCATTTGGCTAAATGGGATGAGATGTCTTAGCATGTTATTCGTGCAAATCCACACAGCACAGGGGAGAAACTCTGTCAGAGTAACTGGAGCCTTGATTCCGGATTAAACAGAATTCACCAGGCCCCCAACTCGGACGAAAAAGAGGGGATGTGGGGGGAACCCGGTAGAACAGACCCTCCCAAATCCTTTGCGTAGGCCCTGCTTCGCGCTGCTGTCTCCGCCGCTGCCCCGTCCTGTCACCGCCTGCTGAGCCCCGCGGAGCGTCCACCCAATCCCTAACAGTTCCCTTCCCCCGATTTCAGCAGTCACCTCACCACTCAGCCCCGCCCGCGCCCTTCGCCTCGCCCCCGCGCCTAATCCACATTCGTGGCCCCTGCTTCCCTTCCCTTCCCTCCTAGATTCTGCCAGGTCGTCAGCAGCGTCACCTGCTTCATTTCTCTCCTTCCCGAATCTTCAGTTTCACACCCACTTGGATGGCCCGTTGGGCTGCCTCTTCATCTTCGTAATCGCACTAGTGCATGCCTGGCCCTGCAGTTGGCTCCGCAATTCTGGTCCGGACCTTAGACAGCTAACGCGGCTGCGAACGACAGATATTAACGCTTTATTCAGGCGACTTTTATAATTCGATAATTCTGCCGCGTTCACTCGCTAACCCCTCCTGAAAAATGTCGTCAGCCAGTTACAATCTCGGCATCGCCGAGGCCGCACGGTCGCACGCGGCGCCGCAGCACCCGTCGCTTGCGTCGTCGCTCGTCGTCCGCGCGTCGTCGCTGAGCGGGTCCAGCATGCACCTCCTCTCCACCTCCCGCAGCCCGTTCCTCGCGGGAACAAGCCCCGCCGCAGCACTCCGCGCGTGGCGCAGCGGGGGAGCGGCGTCCGCGTCTGGTCCAGTGAAGGTGAAGGGGAACTTGTGGGACGATCTGCAGCGCGCGGCGTCGGGCGCGGGCGCGGGCGCGGGGAAGGAGGATTATCTTGACAAGGGGAAGAAGAAGTATGGCCGCGAGACCGTGCAGTATAAACCGAACCGCACCGCGGCTGGGCGGAAGAGCGCGGGGAGCGGTGGAACTACCATCATTAGCAAGTCCCCCAGCACCCCCGGGCGCAAGGGCACGCAATTCGCCGTCCGCAAAGCTGCGGGGAAGTCAGGCGGAGGCACGCAGCTGCTGGTGCTGGGGGAAAAGGGCAAGGACAAGGGGAAGGGCGCGCGCAGCGGGAATGGGGAGGGCGGAACGCAGAAGGTGCTGTCGGACGTGGCGTCGGGGCTGGGGCTAGCGCTGGGCGGCAGGGGCGGCGCGCAGCAGGACGGCAAACTGGTGTTCGTGGTCGGCGCCGGCAGCAGCGTGGGCGCCGCCACTGTGAGGTGAGGGGGGATGACAGGGGGGGATAAGGGGAAGGGAAGGGAATGGGAATGGGGACGGGGATGGAGGGAGGAATCTGAGGAAGCGAGGACGCGTGAGCGGGGAGTGGGGGGAAGAGCTGGGTGAGATGGAGGGAGGGAGGGAGATGGGAGATGGATGTTAGCGTGAGAACGATTCAAGAGAAAGTAACGTTAGTCACAGAGTGATTCGAGTGAAAGGGGGAAGGGTTGTTGCAATAAGGTGGCCGTGCCGCCTCCGTGTTGCCTCCTGAGGATCATTCTTACCGCCGTCACCTCTTTAGTGTGCCATGGCTGGCATATAGTGGAATTCGTGACGGTTCGTCGTTGAACCAGATCGCAACCGCACCCCGTGCACACAAATCCGCATGCATCTCCTGCTCCCCTCCCCCACCCCCACCCCCCCCCCCCCCCCCCCCCCCCTCCTCCTCTTCCTCCCCCCATTCTCCGCCGATCCCCCACCCCTCCCTCCGCCCTCCCCCCCCTCTTCTTTGCCAGGGAGCTCGTCCGCCTGGGGTACCGCGTGCGCGTGCCCGCTAACGAGGCGGACGCCGCGCAGCCGCTGCTGGCCGATGTGAGTCGCTGGAGCCGCGCTGCCATCCGCATTGTTGTGTTATTCGTCTTCGCGCTGTCGCTTCCGCCCATACATGCCTGCATGTTCCCTCTCCCCCATGCCCCCGCGCCATGCCTTGCCCACTCCGCCCTCGGCCCCTCCGCACGCGTCCTTCCGTGCGCTCTTCCCAATCCCGCGTTCTGCTGCCATTCTCCCTCCGCCTTGCCTCAACACCTCGCATTCTGCTCCCCCTGTTTGCTCGTGTGCGACTGTACGTATGGCTCTGTGTGGGTGCCTGACCTTGTGTTCATGCAATTTGCGTGCATGCGTGTGCGTGTGTGCGTGTCTGTGCATGTGCATTGCGTGTCGACCAGCTACCCGAGCCACCCAAAGGCCTCTTCGACGTAAGTGCCACCTTACCTCCACCGCCACTCCCTCTCTCCCTCCTTCTTGCCCTCCTCCTCTTCGCATACCGTCTATCTCTTTCCTCCTTCACTACCCCTCTCATCATCCCCCCCTCCCTCTCGCACCCACTGCCACATCGTACCACGACCACATGTTACCTTGGCTCCCGTGTATCTCGGCCAGGTGCTGCCATCTTTCTTTCCCTCGCCTCCTCACTAACACGCCCGCCCTCTCCCCTGTCCCTTCCTGCCAGTCTTCACCCGAAATTCCCCTTCCCACGTCTCCCCCTTCCCTCCGCCGTTCCCGCAGATGTTTCTCCCCGGTGGCGCCAGTCTCCCCGCGGTGGAGTACGCAGAGGGGCAGGGCGCGTGGCCGCTGGGCGCGGGGGTGATAGGCGCGGAGGGCGCCATGCGCGGGGTGGGGAGCGTCGTGTGCGTGGCGGACGGCGTTGACGCCAGCGTCATCAAAGCGGGTGAGCGGGGGAGAGGCATGGGGACGGGGCTTTATACATTTCTTGTCCCTGTGTGCATTCCTGCTCACCCCCTCAGTACCCCTCTTCCATCGTTCTCGCATCCCTCCTTCTCTCAGCCTCTCTCTCTCCGCACCCGCTTCCCCCTTCCCCCTTCCCCCTTCCCCCTTCCCCCTTCCCCCTTCCCGCCATCCACTGGCAGCGGAGGAGCTGCAGGCGCGGCGGTTCATTCTGGTGCTGCCGCCCATCAACAACCCCCTCGCCAAGTAACCCCGCCTGCAACCCGCCCTCTCGTCGCTCCCGTCTGCGTGTGTCCTTGTGTTGCCTTCCTTCACCGTCCCGTGCTGCGTCCGTTCCACTGCCTGTATAGCCTTCGTATGCCTGCATGTGAGAAGCTTAGCCACCAGTCCGTGACTCTGTCCACCAAACAAGTTACCTTCCCCATCCGTGTGCTTATCCGCATCCTCTGCACGCCCCCCACTCCTTCCTATCCCCCTTTCCCAACCGCGTGCAGGCTGTTTGAGGCGGCTTCGTGGCAGGCCAAGGCGGAGCAAGCCCTCGCTGACTCCGCCCTTGACTTCACTGTACGCCCTCTCCCTCTCTCCCACGCCTTCCCTTCCCTTCCCTTCCCTTCCCTTCCCTTCCCTTCCCTTCCCTTCCCTTCCCTTCCCTTCCCTTCCCTTCCCTTCCCTTCCCTTCCCTTCCCTTCCCTTCCCTTCCCTTCCCTTCCCTTCCCTTCCCTTCCCTTCCCTTCCCTTCCCTTCCCTTCCCTTCCCTTCCCTTTCATCCCCCACCCTCCTGCCTCTCCCTCTCTCTCTTCCTATCACGCCAGTTCGTTTTGTCCATTCCCACACCTCTTTCCCATCAACTTTCTCCTTCCCTTCCCCTCCCAAACGCCAACCCCCCCTCTCCCGCTCCCCACTCCCACTCTCCGCATCGCAGGTCGTCCGCACGCCCACCATCGTGGAATCCCTCTCAGCGGCCTCCTCCCCTCCCCCCTCCGCGCCTGCTGACTCTTCCGCCTCCCCCTCCTCCGACTCCTCCGCCCCTGCCCCCGCGGCCTCCCCCCGCCTGGCGCTGCACCTGGGGCCCAACGCGCGTGCATCCATCTCACAGGGGTGGCCGTCTGGGACCATCTCGCAGAAACAGGTGAGGGGAGGGGGGAGAGGGGGAAGGGGGGGGAGGGTGGGGTTTGCGAGGGGAGAGTGGAGAGGGGTGTGAAGGGAGGGGAGAAGAGGTGGAACGTTGGAGGGACTATTCAAGGAAGAAGGGGGCCTGGAGGAGAGAACGGAAGGGGAACACGGGGGGATTGAGGGGGGGAATAGGAGAGAGATGAGCTGTTGGAAGAGAGGGATCGTAACGAACAGGGATGATGGTCAGCGGTGAGCAGCTATGGATTGAAGGTATCTTAAACTCTTCAAAATGCCCTTATAAAACTTGAAGAGATTAAGATACTTGTCTGCTAAGAGGGATTTTGACACGGCACTTTCCAGCCCCGTGACACAAATGGACCTGCACTCTCCCACAGGCTCCAGGGAGTGACTACAACGCTGCTATATCCCATGAATCACAGCCACAGCCACAGCGCACCCACCATCCACCTCCCATCTCACGCATCCCCTCCCCTTCTTCCCACTCCGCCTGCCCTTCCCTGCACCCTTGCTCGACCCCCAGTTGGGTCGGCTGGTGGCGGGGCTGTTGAAGGAGGGCTCCCCCAAGCTCAAGCGCCGCGTGGTGGACGCCGTGGTCGAGCCCTCCTCCTCCCCTCAGCCCTCGCTGTCGGCGCTCATCGATAGGGCGCTCTCCGAGTCTGCTGTCACTGCCGCTGCTGCTGCTGCTGCTGCTCGCGCCCCGTCGGCAGACAAGCCTGCGGCTGCTGAGGTGGGGGTTGTTGTAGAGGTCACATGGTGTGGCTCCCGAGAGCGAGAGGAGATTGTAAGGGGATACGGCACTCGTCTAGTTACTCCAGGAGTTGTTTGCAAAAGCCTCTTCCGAGTCAAGTCTAAAAAGAAAGGAAGACGAGAGAAGGCACATGCTAGCAGCTGGGCTGTTGGGTTGCTCTCAGCTCGCTGGGCTGCTCTCTGCCCATCATTATTGTGATTGCCTCTTGTCCATGGCTGTGTGTGTCTGTGTGCGTGTGCATGCAGGCGCCTGCCTCCCCTACCAAGCCCAAGTTCAAGCTGCCTGACATGGCCCTGCCCACTGCCGTCACGGGCAACAGCACTTCCAAGGACAGCAAGGAGAACGGCAAGAAGGAAAAGGAGGCTGAGGGGGAGAAAGGTTTGGGGAGGGGGAAGCTGGGCCTGAAGGAGGCTGAGAATCTGCTGTCTCTCTTCACCAAGCCCAAGGAGGCCACTCCTGCTGTGGAGCCCACTCCAGCCTCCTCTGACCCCGTGGCGCGCGCACAAGAGGCAGTGGCCAAGGCACAGCAGCTCGCGCAGTCCTTCTCCCTGCCGTCGCTCTCCTCCGCCTCGGGCACCAAGGGCGGCACGCAGCGTGGGGGCACCATGCGCGGCGGCACGCTGCGCATTGGCGGGGCGAAGGGGGGCACGCAGCGGGGCGGGACGAAGGTGATTGACAAGCGCGCGCAGCAGCAGAGGAACCTGGCGGCCAAGGCAGCGCAGAGGAGGGAGAGGCAGAGGCCGGTGCAGCGCCAGGGGAGCCAGCGCGGGCGGAAGGAGGAGGAGGGCGAGCAGGGCGGGATTGACCTGGTGGGGTCGTGGGTGCAGGGCATCCAGTCGTTCGACGGCCAGCTGCCTTCCGGGCCAACCAAGAAGCAATCCCCTGCGATGGCCTGGCTGCAGTCGCTGTAAGCTCTCGCTGCCTGCTGCTCGCTTTCATCTTGCTTGCCGCTGTCCTCCTCTCTCCCTGCAGGCAATCCTGCTCCATCGTGGATGTTAGCAGGGACCTGGATGCTGTTCATTCATTCTCTATGTGCCTGTCAACCACCCCCACGCGTGTCTGTCTGCACCTCTGCTTCTCCCAGGCTGCCGCAGGAGGAGGTGGTGGAGGAGGAGCCAGAGCAGCAAGGCCCCCTCGCTGCAGCCCGCCGCCTCTTCTCCCCACCACCGCCTGCCCCACCTGCTCCTAAAGCGCCCACTGGCGCTGCTGCCCTCGCGTCCACTGCTGCGTCTGCTGCCGCTGCTGCTGCGGTGGTGACGGCATCTGCTGCCGTGTCTGCAGTGGCCGGCCTCGCGCAGGTGGTCGCCCCATCAGCCACACCGGAATCGCCATCCACTGCTGATGCTGCAGATGCTGCCGCTGCTGGAACGGCTGCGTCCCCTGCTGAAGCAGAGGACAGCATTGAGGAGAGCATGCAGGGGGTGCGGGCTCTGGCAGGAGCTGCAGCGGACGCACTGAAGGACGCAGTGGCCAGTGCTGCTGACATGGTGATGCCGGATAGCGCTGCCGAGGTTACGGAAGAAAGTGCCGCCAAGACTCCTGCTCAAACTCTTGCCGCTGCACCTGCTGCTGCCGCTGCTGCGGCTTCTGCTGCTGCTTCCGCTGCTGTTGCTGCTGTTGCCGCTGCTGCTGCTCCTGTTGCTGCCGCCGTGTCTGCCCCAGTTGCTACTCTCGCCCCCACTCCTGCAGCTCCTGCTGCTGCCGCAAAGGCAAGTGAGGTGAGTGTGAAAGCAGCGGTGAAAGAGGTGGTGAATGAGAAGACTGCAGAGGAGATTGCTCGGGAAGAGGAGGAGAAGCGCAAGCGAGAGGAGGAGAGGACGAAGGCGGAGGAGGAAAAGAGGATCCGAGATGAGGCGAGGAAAAAGAAAGAGGAGGAGGAGAGGAAGAAGAGGGAGGCGGAGAGGAAGGTGCGCGAGGCGGAGAGGAAGAAGCGGGAGGAGGAGAGGCGCGCACGGATCGATGCTGAGTGGAAGGCCCGAGAACTGGAGAGGAAGCGAGTGGAGGCTGAGGAGAAGAGGAGGCAGGATGAGAGACGGCTGATGGAGAAGAGGCGGCAGGAGGAGGAGGCTCTGCGGCTAGCGCAGCTGAGGCAGCAGCAGGCAGAGGAGAGGCACAAGCAGGAGGAGGAGAGGAAGAAGCAGGAGGCGGAGAGGAAGAAGCAGGTGGAAGCTAAGAAGAAGGCGGAGGAGGAGAAGAAGCAGAAGACGGAGGAGGAGAAGCGTGAGGCACTGAAAAGGGCTCAGGAGGAGGCTCTGCTGGCAGCCAAGAAGCTGGAGGAGGAGGGGAGGAAGCGCAAGGAGAGGCTGCCGTACCCGCAGCCGGCACAGCCTGAATCAGATGGCGTTGTGTACATCACAGGGTAAGAGCACAGTTCATGCTTTTTGCTTGGCTTGGCTAGCGGGACTAGGAGGGAAGCACTTGCAGCATGTGGAAGTGGTGTTACAGTTGCATTGCTGATCAACGGAAGGTCTGGTCAGTGTCGTTGTGCTGCTGCTGGTCTATGGTCCGCCAATCTCATCTCATCCTTTCTCCTTTTCACCCAAACTCTTCCTGCCCTTTTCCCACCCATTCAGCAACACTACGCCTGGTCGCTACTTCACACTTACACCCATGGCAGAGCGGAAGAAACAGTAGGTCGTAGTGAATTTCCAGCTGAAGAGTGGGTGGGTGTGTTGGGGGTAATGGTTTGTCTTTTGCTTTGTGTTTTTTCAGGAATACGACTAGATATTGCAATAATTTAACGTGACCTTTATTGTCTATTGTCAATATTGCTTTTGGGTCACCTTCTTGGAGGTGCAAATTCGTCTTTAGGGCATGGGTGAAATCTAGGGCACCTCGAGTAAAACCATTCACTCTTAGTAACACAGAAATCTGATTCTCTTAGCGCGTATGGGCCGAATTCCAAGCCTCGGCGCATCTTCCTCATCGCTGATCATTGGTGTGCTGTTTCCCGCCAATCGCCAACCTTCCTTCCGCTCATTCCTTCCTCAGCTCCCCAAATCCTTGAGGCTCTCTTCCCTCCGCCATAGTTCCCCTCCCCACCTTGTTGCCTCCAATCACTCACCGCATCAGCCTTCCAAATCCAGGTCGTCGTTGTGATTCCAGAGCCCAGCCTCACTCCCGTCAGTAACCCGAATCTCTGTTCAGCCTTTCGCTGTCTCGTGTCGATCGTTACACTAGAGCAGTGCTAAGCGTTGCCCGACGCAATCCTCTCTCGTTATCAACCCACCTCCTACAATGGACAACAGCAGCGGCTCCTCCCCCGAGGATCCCGACAACCCGCACTCAGCGGCGGGCTCGTCCTTCAAATCCGCGGAGGAGGCTCTAGCGTCGTTGACGGTGGCGGGATCGCAGGATAGCGGCAAGGACGAGGCGTCTAGTTCAAGGGGGGACAAGGGCAAAGCCGTCGCTGCCGCAGCCCCCGCTAAGCCCGCGCTCCCCGCGCCTCTCAGCGGGCCTCTCGCGCTCATGTCGCAGCTCATGGGTCAGCAACCGCGCCGCCATCTCTTTTGGGAGACGCAGCCGGTCGTCGGCGGCACTGACGGCGCGGCATCTCAGCCAGGAGCTGCCAGCAGTGGCGCCGGTAGCGAAGCAGGCGAGGACGGTAGCGGCAGCATCGGCGGCGGTGGCGGCGTAGATCTTTTGGAGGAGGGCCCGATCGAGCCGCCGACGCCGCTGGAGCAGGTGCGCGCGGAGCCGTACGCGCTGCCGGCGGCGTACGAGTGGTGCACGTGCGACGTGGATAGCGACGCGGAGATGCGCGAGGTGTACGTGCTGCTGACGAATAACTACGTGGAGGATGACGACAACATGTTCCGATTCGACTACTCGCAGGAGTTCCTCCGCTGGGCGCTTAAACCCCCGGGGTTCTACAAGTCGTGGCACGTCGGCGTGCGCGCGCGCCAGTCTCGCAAGCTCGTCGCGTTTATCACGGGCGTGCCCGCCACGGTGCGCCTTCGCGAGAATCTGGTGCGCCTGGCGGAGATTAACTTCCTCTGCGTGCACAAGAAGCTGCGCTCGAAGCGCCTCGCGCCCGTGCTGATTAAAGAGGTAACGCGGCGCGTGCACCTGCAAGGGATCTGGCAGGCGGTGTACACCGCAGGGGTGGTGCTCCCCACGCCCGTGACCACCGCGCAGTACTGGCACCGGTCGCTAAACCCGAAGAAATTAATCGACGTGGGGTTCTCGCGCCTCGCGCCGCGAATGACCATGTCGCGCACCATCAAGCTGTACCGCCTGCCGGAGCAGCCCGCGACGCCCGGGCTGCGCGCCATGGAGCGGCGCGACGTGCCGGCCGTGTGCCGGCTGCTCAAGTCTTACCTCTCGCAGTTCGTGATCGCGCCGGAGTTGAGCGAGGCGGAGGTGGAGCACCTGCTGCTGCCGATTAAAGACGTAATTGACTCGTTCGTCGTGGAGGACCCCCAGACGCACGAGCTGACGGACCTGGTGTCGTTCTACACGCTGCCGTCGACCATCATCGGGAACGACAACTACAGCAAGCTCAAGGCGGCGTACTCGTTCTACAACGTGGCGACGGCGACGCCGCTGCTGCAGCTGATGAACGACGCGCTGATCCTGGCGCGGCGGAGCGAGTACGACGTGTTCAACGCGCTGGACATCATGCAGAACGCGTCGTTCCTCAAGACGCTCAAGTTCGGCCCCGGCGACGGGCACCTGCACTACTACCTCTACAACTACCGCATGCACGGGCCGTTCCAACCAGTGCAGCTCGGCCTCGTGCTGCTGTGACACGTGTTGCATGTGCCGCACTGCCTCCCACTGCCCGCCTCCCACTGCTTGCCCCCCAATGCATTCCTGCCAATGCCTGCCTGCTGCCAATGCATGCCTGCAAGCCAATGCCCGTCTCCCATTGCCGCTGCCCACCTTATGCCCACAGCGTCGCTGTCATTGCCATTCCGCCTGGTCGCCCTGTGCATCCAATCCAACCCCCTTCATCGGCACCTCACAGCCCATGCTGCCTGCCACTCTGCTGCTGCCCCCTCGTTCTCCCGCCTCTTGCCGCGCCTTACCTGCACCCTCTTCCCCCATCATCACCCGCCCCTTGTGTCCCTCAGAGACCCACTCTCCCTCCTCCCGCCTCCCCTTACTCCCACTGGTTGTCTCTTCCTCGTGCACCTTGTGCTCTGCCCACTGATTGGTGCATCCATGGAAGAGCAAGCGGTCGGGTGGTCTGCCGTATCTCGTGTGTTGTCAGTACCCCACTATTCTACATGCCTGCTGCTAGTGAACGTGCTGGCAGTGCTGCTGCTGCTGGTGCTAGTGATAGGAGTAAAGACTGGGTGGTGCTAGGGATAGAAGTAGTCCCTTGGCTTTTGAAACTGCAGAAGATGCAAGTACCAAAACGCTTCTACGGTGCGTATTTTGTACCGCGGTGTCTAGAATTGTGACTAGTGCTGGTACATTAACCTTTTTTCATAACTGTTGATGGAGATGCCTTTCCATGGGTCTGGCCTTTCATGCCCAAGGTGAACAATCCCATGATTGTTGTGATATAATTGATACTCAGCATTTCTGTAAGTCGGTTAAGTGTAGTTAGTGTCGACTAATACTGTAGAAGATAAGTCGGTAGTATGACGTCAGCAAATAGCGCTCGTCATAGGACAGTCGTTTCAGTCACGCGAACAGTCGCATCTCTTCATTATCATCTAGGGCGCATAGCGCGATAGTGACGAAAAGGTACATTAGTGAATAGGTACTTTTCCTAGAACTATAAATCCTTGTTAGGTCTTTTGTCATTATTAACTTTTGCTTACTCACAAGTTCACGTACTCAGGTTATTCAACCTTGACCTTAACATTTTACAAGAATTCCACTTTCTTACTAGTCTACCATTCCAGCAAAGATCCTGGACCAACACTTGAGGATTTGCCAAGTGTTTGTATTTATAGTTTTATACTGAGTCTCTTACAACATTTGACGATTTATTTCATGGTATGAGAGCTATCTGGAATTAAGACTACCGTCAACTATGACTGGTTCATCACCAGCACCATCTGCCGGATCAGTTACCGGAACTACTAGAGCACATGCCTCCACTACCGCCGTTGCTCTCTCAGCATCTGGGCCATTTCCACAAGCCTATGCTAATATCGGTATGCAAAAGCAGAATCCGCCTTCAGTAAATACTCCAGGTGCTCCATCGACTGCACCTGCAGCACAGCAACAAGCGTCAGTACATCCACCAGTTTCAACGCAATCAATTTCATCTGCGTTCAGTGGAATGAGCCTTGACGGCTCGAGTTACATGCGTGGAGCTATAGCTCCAAGTACTGGTTCATTCGCTTTCTCACCTTTCGTACAGCAGCCGCAGTCACAACAGTTTCAGCATCCTTTTATTAGAAACTGAGAATTAAAATGATAGATAGAGTGTACACACAGATATACCTAAGTGTTGTACTCTCTAAGAGACGACCCTATACAGTCTATACAAACATGACAAATACACATGTTTGACACACCCCCTAGACTGCATAGGGGAATGCTCTAAACAAACAGCTCAGGGCGGCACTACTAGTCCAACCTCTGAGACAAGGGTCTGAGAGACCAGTCAGAAGGAGTACAAACAAGGCAAGAACAAGAGTAGGGCGGCACTACTAGTCCAGCCACTGGGAGAGGACACAAGTCCAGTCTGAGTATACGTATAAAGGACAGTACAAAGTCAAGGTCCTAGCAAGTGAGAGGCTACAGGAACTAGACCAAGCTGTACACAGTGCCGCTGATGATCTTTAGGCGCAAGCGCCTTCGTAAAGATATCAGCCGTATTGGCACCTGAGGCCAAGTGTACTACGCGAGCCTGACGTCGCTGATGTAGCTCACGCAGGAGGAAGTACCGCAGCTGAATGTGCTTTGCTCTGCCCTCGAGTCGAGGCTCCTGACACAGGAGGATCATGGCCCTGTTGTCAGCGAACAGGACCGGGGCAGAGCTAGGCCGCTCACCTAAGTCGGTGAGCAAGAAGGTCAGCCAGCGAAGCTCCTGTGCCGCCATGGCACCAGCGTAGATCTCAGCCTCACAGCTGGACTGCGCAACAGACGAGGAGCGGGTAGCTCTCCACGAGACGGCACCTGAGCCAAGGCTGAAGCAGTAGCCCTGGGTAGACCTGAGTGTCTCGGCGTCGTCTGCCCACGAAGCGTCTGTGTGTCCAGTAAGGACCACTGGCCTGCGTCCTCCTAGCACTAACCCCATGCCCGATGTACTAGCAAGATAACGCAGAACCCTCTTAGCGGCAGACCAGTGCTGCGGTCGATGCCTGCCTGTGGCCACAAAGCGAGCCAGGATGCTGAGAGGGTATGCGAGATCTGGGCGAGTGCAAGTCATCAGGTACATGAGGCAACCCACCAGCTCTGCGTAGGGGCCGCTGGGCTCTACCAACTCCTCAGACACTGGAGCGGAGAGTACGTGGTCTACAGGCAGAGGGGTGGGCTGTGCAGAGGAGAACTGAAGGCTGAACCTCTGAAGGACCTGGCGCACCAAGTGTGACTGAGTCAGGGTGATGGTGCGCGCAGCTCTGTCCCTGGAGATCTGCAAGCCAAGGTAACGGCGCAGTTCTCCAAGGTCAGTGCACGTGTGTCTCTTCAGCAGCTCTGCCTTCACGGAGGCCAGTGCGTCCCTGTCAGGTGTCGCAAAGACCAGGTCGTCGACGTAAACAAGGATGTAGAACGGAGTCTGGCCAGCACGAACGAAGAGTGAAGGGTCTGCGGAAGACGGAAAGAACTGCAGGTCAGCAAGCGTAGCACGGAGAGTGTCGTGCCACTCACGGGGAGCCTGGCGCAGGCCGTAGACGGGGCGCCGCAGGAGCCACTGGGTCCCAGGAGGGAAGGTGCCAGTGAAGCCCTGAGGGCGCCGCAGGTAGACCTGCTCGTGTAGGCTGCCCTGAAGGAAGGCAGTGGAGAAGTCGAGGGAGTGAAGCTCGTAGTCACGCTGAGCAGCTAGGTGTAACAGAACCCGAAGAGTAGTCATCTTCGGGGTCGGAGCGAAGGTCTGGAAGAAGTCCACCCCCTCGCGCTGACTGAAGCCTCTAGCCACATAGCGCGCCTTGAAGACAGGCGGCTCTCCAGGAGGGCGCTTCACCTTGAAGAGCCAGCGGCCATCGACTACGTTCACCCCAGGTGGGGGAACTGCGTCGACGAAGGTGCCGGTGGATCTCCAAGATGCCATCTCCTGCTCCATGGCAGCTATCCACTACGAGGCCCAGGGTCCCGAAGTCGCCTCAGCGTAAGTGCGAGGGGTCGGGATGTCAAAAGCGTCTGGGTCACCCTCAGGGACTAGCAGCATGGAACAGAGATGGGGAGCAGCCTCGGAGAGGAAAGCAAGCTCGAACTGGCGGTCCTCCAGGACGTCACTGCCAAGGGCAGGAGCACCCTTGACAGACGGAGGACAGGAAGGGTCAGAGACCAGAGCGGAGGCGTAGTCAAGGCGGCGGGTAGAGGCGAAGTCAGCGACAGCAGCGACAAGAGCGTCAAGGCACGAGACCGGAACAGACGGGTCGGTAACAAGAGAGGCAAGGACCCGAGGAACAAGGGGACGAGCGGCACGAAGGTAGTCAGACAGCGGGGGGGGGTGCAACAACAAGAGAGGACGGAGGAGGCGACGGCAGAAGGGGAGGACGAGACGCGTGAGAACGAAGCAACATAGGGTGGGAGCGCAAGACAGGCGAGGCAGGACGAGCGCGGGAGGGACGGTGAGACCAGACGTGCGACGGAGGAGTCGGGTCAGGAGACAGAGGAGGGGACACAGGAGGGGAACGAGGGGGGAGACGGGCCGGGGACGAGTCCGGCGGAGGGAAGACAGGGCCGTAGACAGGAAGAGGAGGAGACGGCCGGGGAGGAGCCGACGCAGGGTCGGGGGACAGAAGGCCGAGCAGGCGAAGGGCTGACACCGGCGGGGACTGCTGCTGCGGCGGCACAATGGCAACACCGGGACCGCAAGCTGCTCCTCGGCTACCACCGGCACTCTCCACACCAGCACCCCCAGAGGGACCACCCCCAGGGCTACCGAGACGAGCACCCCCAGAGTCAGCGAACGGGTGCTGCGACGGCGGCGGTGGCGGCTGCGGCGGCGGCAGCGACAACGACGGCTGCAGCGGCGGCAGAGGCGGTGGAGGGGGGGACTGGGGAGGGGACGCTGGGGGAGGGGCGGCCGGCGAGGACTGAACAGGAGGGCCACCAAAGTCAGAAGACTCCTCAACGGGGTCCACCGACGGAAGGGGGGTGACGTGGGACACACCAGAGGGGGCGGGACGGGGAGGAGGAGGAGGAGGGGCAGGGACTACCGGGGAAGGAGTGAACAGGAACAGGGGGGGGCTAACCGGGGGACCACGGTGGGGGAAGCGATGGTAGTAGGAGACGGACTCGTCAAAGGTGACGTCACGAGAGTGAAAGAAGCGGTGAGACGACGGATGGTAAAAGTGCCAGTCGGACGCGTCAAGGGGAAAACCGAGGAAGACGCAGGGAAGGGTGCGGGCAGTGAGCTTGTCCGTGCCGGAGGCACGGACGTGAGCAAGGCAGCCCCAGACGTGGAACGCAGACGCGTCACCAGGAGACCCAGTCCAAAGACGAGTCGGCGAAACCTGCGGCTGCTGAGGGTGCGGCCACAAGTTAAGCTGGTGAGAAGCGTAGCGCACAGCGAACGGCCACAGAAAATGGGGTGCACCGGCATGGATCATGGAGGTGCGAGCCACCTCCATGACCAAACCGATGCGTCGCTCAGCGACCCCATTCTGCTGTGGGGAGTCCGGTAGGGTGAACGTCTGGGTGATGCCCTCCGCACGACAAAAGCGACCAAGGACACCTGAGGCAAACTCGCCACCACGGTCTGAGTGAAGACGCAAGACAGGGAGACCGCGGTGGACACGCGCAGAGACAAGCCAGGGGATGAGAGCGCCAGGCACGTCGGCCTTGCGCTCCAGGGAAAAGACTGTGGTGTAACGAGTGAAGTCGTCGACAAGCACAAGGAAGTAGCGCTCTCGACGCGGCCCAGGGACGGGGGCGGGGCCCCAGACGTCCAGGTGCAGGGTCTGCAGCGGCGCGGCGGTAGGGGGAAACGAGGAGGAGTGCGGGGCACGGTGAAGCCGACCGTCAACACAAGGCGTGCAAGGTGGGGCTGGGGAGGAGGGAAACGCGGGGAGGGAACCTGGGAGACCAAGGACAAGACCGTGCTGGGACATGTGACGCAGACGCGGGAGCGCAGGGTGACCTAGGCGGTGGTGCCAAAGGAGAGTCGGGTGAGTGAGGGACCGACAGGAGCAGGCAGCAGCAACCTGGGTAGACGCAGCCACCTTAGGAGGCGCCCCAGCCAGGGGGGTCACGGTGTCCAGAGTGAACAGGCCGGACACCGGGTCCCGGGGGAACGTGGACAGGGGGGCACCAGTGGCGGCCTCGGTAAAGACAGCATACCGCTCGTGACCAGGGAACGTAGTGGTGACGCCAAG